AACAAGATGTTTTGTAAGGAAAGTTCAACGGCCATTTCTCACCCAAGCCTCTCCTGATTCACTGCTAGATGGCTCTGTTAGTCACAATTATGATTGAAGAAATTGTGCAGAGTCAGTGGGTTTGTCACTGCACACTTTGAAGACAAAGAAACCTCTCGCATGGGAGGAGGCCATAGAAAGAAAGAAATGTGAAAATGGTGTCTGGAAGGTAAGAAATAAGAAAGAAATACACAATATATGTAAGGAAACTGATAGTTAAAATAATCGAGTTGTCAGTAGTAAGATGGCTAGGACATGTAGCCAGAGTGGAAGAAAATCTACCTTCCAAGAAATTAACCTTCAACCAGCCTGAAGGCAATCGCAAAAGTGGACGACCTAATTTAAGGTAGCCACCTGTGTACGAAACGATATTAAAATCTTAAAAATTTAGGCCTGGTGGATGAAACCACAAGGAAGAAATGAATGAAGTAGGGTTCTTCATGATGCCAAGGCCCATAAGAAGAATATATAAAGACATGCAGTGTTGTTGGTTTCAAACTGTTAGATTCTGTGAGTAGATTAACCGCAGTGATACTGGATACGCTAGTAGCAAGTAAAGTAAAGCCATCCCACTACACATGTAGTCATTTGGGGGGAGAGGTAGTATAGCTCCTACTCATTTCTAACCTCGGCACTAGATGGGGGTGAGTGGTCAGCATAACGCCCCAGCTGCGCTTTACCCCCAGGAGAGGACCCCGGTACCCATTGAATAGGAGACTGGGTGGGCCCCAGAGCCTGTCTGGACGCAGAGGCTAGAGGAAAATTCCTCTGCCCCCGTCGGGGATCGAACCCTGGTCGTCCGGCCCGTAGCTAGTCACTATACCGACTGAGCTATGTAAAGTAAAGTAAAGTTTGTCCCACTATACGCCATGTAGGCGTTTGGGGTGAGTGGAGGTATAGCTCCTCTCTTCCTTGACCTCATTAAAATTGTCTGCAGAGAGTTATTTAATTTCTTGGTTATTTCAACAAGTGTGCTGATTTAGGAGTCTGTAATTTTCATATCACTCAGCCGTATCCATTCAAATTCCTTTTATGACCTTCAGGATACCTGTCCGTAGTTGAAGATGGATGTCGTATGTGTAATCCATGATCAAGGCAGAAAGCTTCTCTTGAGATGTTGGTAAACTTCTGTCAGACTACATGATGCTAGAACCCAAAACAGCCATCTTCATACTCGCCACCATGAAAACCTAAAATCCTATGTACAGACCATCAGAACCTTTATTCATCCTGCTTTCCTTTACATATGCGTCCTTCAAGACAACTTTCATGAAAAGTAATTGTTTGGTTTCTATAATGTTGATGTGTTATATTGGGACGGACAGACCCACAGCTAGCTGATAGGGTCTTAGAGTTTTTAGGAGGAATATTTTAAAGTATAAAAAAGTGAAAGATAATTGAAGTTGGCTTCAATTCGTCTTCCTGTCTTGGAGTTCCTCCTCTGAATCTGTTATTTGCTAATGCGCTGCTGTCAGCTGGACTGATTCTTCGCGAAAACATCTGGCCAGTATTCTCGGAGGGCAACGGCCGTGTTGGAAATCGACGAAAGTTCCGTCATCTCAGGAAGGGACGTCGTCAGCCTCCGGGACTGTCAGGACGTCCTTGGATGTAGGATGTACCAGAAGTCACCATCACACTGTTGCTCCGCTTAGGAAGTTGGTATCTGTCCCGAAATTGCGCCTCATTGTCTGTAATGAGACTGTCCTCTCCTGTCGCGTGCCCCTAGTGGCCCGAGCAGTTTTCGCATATGCAAATTCTCCTGGCTGTTCGGTTGCTTCCACGCAGATTGTATGTGTGGCTGTTTACACGCGATGTGGATGAGTCGGGTTGTATAGTGGTTCTGGATTTGGTTCGTTTTGGTTTTGCTCGAGTAGCCTCGGACCCCACGATGCTTCTTCTGTTGGAAATTGTCTCGATTTCTTTATTCACTGTCGGACAGCTTTTTCTGTGGAATCTCAGTTTTGGAATCCTGTAAGAATTAAAGGCGGGTTATGATACAGACCGAGACGTGATTGAGAAAGGAGAATATTGTACAGCAGTGATGATCAACTCCTGGCACACCCAAAAGCTGGTTTCTGCCCGCGAATGAATTTCGCCAAGAATAGATTGCAAATATTGAGCAGAAAGTAATATACCGAAGTATTTGAAGCGAAATTAAAAGAATTCCCATTCGAAACTTAAAATGAGTGCCATATAGCCGACGTTTCAGAGATTCGCGCTGTCTCATAATAGACGCAGTGTGTACGTCTGAATCTGTGATATTAAGGCTTCTTTTTTGTCCGGAACTGACAACTTACGTAATGAAGGAGATAGTACGGTTAACATTTATTTCATTGGTGCATATACTCGGTGTGCAGTTAATTAATTCTGTGTTGGGTGCCCCTTATTTGTCGTAGCCAATATAATGACATTGTAAATTCAGACAGATTTCTATTATAATAATTAAAAAATTATTATTCTCTCCGTTGCGTAGCATAACATTTAAAATGGCTGCTTACCACCATGTGTTTTTGATCCAGTGTTGAAATGTCTTGAGCCATTGATTTCTTCTCAGTCCTTTGCAGAGGATGAAAATTAGAAATATGAAGCCGAGCCCGAGAATCACTATGGCGGCTCCTGCAACTAGCAGCGAGGCCAAGTCCCATCCGCTCCAGAATTCGTTGATTGTGAAGTTGATTATTTTATCATCCATGATGGACAATTACTGCTTCTCTGTAATTAAAATGTCTGCGTACAATTAATTAGCCGCCGCAAATGAAAAATGCGTAAATAATTTTAATCAAAACTTGTGACAGTATGAAGACTTTGGGGAACTAAACGTACACTTGATGATATTATTAATATGAATGTTTTGTTGGTTGTGAGGGTGTGGACGAGATTTAACTACTTTTATGAAGGCGTTAATAAAGTAAGATGGATAACTTCTAGACCTGATGAGCAAATATTTTAGTGTCTGAAAAATGTTTCCGCTCTGCGACAGGAAGCCAGATGGCCAGCTGTTGTTCGTTTACTTCATGGTTTCGGCCTTCTATCTTAAGCGTTATCATTCAAAAGACTTTAGCTGGAACTTTACTGCAAAATTAATAACGTAATGATATTCAGATACATCAATCGTCATACACATAAACGCCCATCCAATATTCGGGACAATTTTTTCCATTGATAATGCGCCTTTAATATAAGTTACCACTTACGTTTTCACACAATTATTTCTTCTAAATTGTTTGTACACAAGTCCTCTTTTACGTTCGTTTTAATTCAAGTCGTCCTGTTGGTAACACCAGTAAACAGTCCAACAATGCAACAATAGACTGCGACAATGGAAAGAGAACTTAATGTTCAAATAATTGAGAAGTATACATCACAATGAATTATAATTACTGACTTCAAATATTATGGACAGATAGCTAATTAAATGTCGTGTTAAATAAATAGGCTGTAATTAATGGGTAATGTTTTTAAAAATATAGAGACACATCATTGCACACAAGTACATGTGATCCCCGTCCAATATGAAAGATGTTTCTTTTTCCGTAACTAGTATTTACATGAGTTTCGATTTCAAAGACCTTGACGTTACCTTTTCAGGATTATCCTTTATAAATTATTTATATAATTTAAACTAAACTACCACAATCCTATCTGTGCTGGTACACATCCTTGTCTTGTAGCTGCTTGTTAGGTAATACCAGTAAACAGTCTCCAACAATGTATCAATAAGGTTTTCGTTTGGTTGCTATGGAAATGTAACTTTGTTACCCATAATATTGTGACCTTGGTTGTCAACCCTTGATTTTTGGGGTCTGCTGCCTTGAATCTGATCCGACTCAAACTTGGTTCAATTCTATGAGACCACGATGTCCTCCAGCAATGATAAATTTAATCAAAACTAAAATGGACACGTCAGAGTATAAACAATTATAATTACAATAAAATACATTACAGATTCTTAAAGGTCCATATTTACCGATCATTTTACATACGGGTTACATTACCCCTACTCTTACCATTCCTGAAGAATGAACATTTAAAGGTGACTCGGCGCTGGATCTTACACATTTTCGTAACTAACGCTGTTTTTGTTGAATGACCCTTCCGTATAGACGTATTTAAGACAAGCCAGATTCTCTTACACGAGTTCACAAATGCAGATGAAAACGTTAAATGTGATGAACAACAATAATAAATAAGAATCCCTTACCTCAAACGTTGTTCAATTGTAAGAGACCACGATGTCCACGCAAATTCATAGAAGGTAAATACAGGAATTATTCTGAAAAGTTTTCGCTAAAAATGTCAGCACAAAAGGATCTAGTTCACGAAGCTCTTTATTACAGCACAATTCGTTCCAGACTGACGAAAGTCGATTGTCGCCTGCTATTTATATAAACACAACAAAGCCAACGTAACCTATGACGCAACAGTGAGTAAAGGAATGGAGTGCAATACGGTTCATTCAGGCGTGCATAAGGACTGAGAAATGAACCTTATCGCATGCCAGCCGAGATTGTTGCACGTGTTCGTATTTTATAAGAACACCTGCGTTTCATATTTACACATTCTTTGTAGTTAAAGAAATACAAATTGAATTTCTCCAAGTTATAATTTGGTTAAATTCCATCATAAATGTAAGAAGCCAATAATTAATATTAAATGTGTTCTCTGTAAGAAGGAAATAAGTTTAAATGTAACGAAAAGACTCACCAAGAAAATTTTGCAGTTTCATTTGCCCTTGATTAAAAATAACGTTGGGTTTTATTACACTTGATTAATTTTAAAGACGATTTTTGAGGGGCCCGGGCGTTGTTGAGACAATCGCCCCTGGGCGAGCGAGAGAAAATGTTTCCTTCCTTCGAATCCCGGCAA